TTCAACTTTTTTGAAATGGCAAATGGAACGCCAAGGAATAAAATGCAATCTCAGATCTCCATCCCACCCAGAACAAGTCCAGGAAATATCAACATAAAAGAACTTGAAGTCACACACCTGAGATTTCTGAAATGACAGAAACCAAAGTAAAAAAAAAAAAAAAAAAAAAAAAAAAAAAAAAAAAAAAAAAAAAAAAATTCCATCAGGCTATAGAAGAAATCATATCAGAAATGATCTCTCAGGCAAAAAAAAAAAGAAAGAAATGACAAACATAATGAAACAATTGCTCAGCATATCTAAAGAATACAGGGATTAAAAAAATAGAGGAGCGGGGCTGGAGAGATGGCTCAGTGGTCTAAAGCACCTACTTGGAACAAGCTTGGCAAAGCACAGGGACCGCGGTTCAATCCTCCAGCACCACATGCCAGCCAGCCGCGCCCCCTGGTGGGCTGAGCTGGCCACACACACACACACACACACACACACACAATAAATAAATGTTAAAAAAAATTTTTTTAAAAAAATAGGAGCATATAAAAATGATGGAAATGAGTGAACAATGTAGGAAAGAATTAGAATGCATAAAACAGATTCAATGAGGATATTAAATATTTATTTGAAAACTGGCAATACTGCTGAATGAAACTCAAGATATACTTTTAAGACTTTGCAAACAGGGATACAGATCGAGACAATGAAAGGAAGGATCTTGGGGGCCTGCCCCTTAGCTCAGTTCTTTAAGTGGCTTCTTCAACAAAGCAGTCAGGCTCAGGTTGCTGTGGTTCGATCCCCACAACTCAAGCCAGCCAAACCTGCCCTGAAGTCATTCGGAGCAAAAAAAGAAAAAAAGGAAGGAAGGATCTCTTAAAACTAACAAGGAACCAGGAAATAATTCAACTGCATGATGATGCAAAGAAAACCAATATAAAACTGATAGATGTAAATGAAAAAACAAGTCAACATGATTGGCAAAAAAGACTATTTATAGAAGTAATAGCAGAAAATTTTCCAAGAATAGGAAAGGAATCTGACATACAGCTAAGTGAGGTATACAGAACTCCAATTATTCATAACCAAAATAAATATACACCCAGACACACAATAAGATCCCAGAAATTCAGCAAAAGAAATGAATATTAAAAGCTGGTGGAGAAAAGAAGCAGGTTATCTATGAAGGAAAGCCCATCAAAATCATGGCAGATTTCTCAGCACAAACCATCAAGTCAACAAGAGCTTGGAGGGAGGTATTTCAATTTCTGAAAGAAAACAACTTCCAACCAAGATTGATGTACCCTGCAAAACTGTCTTTCAAAATTAATGAAGAAATAAGATATTTCTATGACAAAGAACAACTGAAGAAATTCAAGACCACCAAACCAACCCTACAAAGAGAACTGAAACATATTTTATACAAAGATAAAAATGACCACAATTCTAAGAACAACAATAGAAAAGAACCAACCACCAACCAGGGAAAGCAACTAAACAGAGGAGAAAAATAGGTAAACAACATCAGGAGAATAACATGACAACGGTAAGCTATGACATGTCAGTAATAACCATTAATGTAAATGACCTCAGTTCACCAATCAAAAGAAACAGACTGACAGAGTGGATCAAGAAACAAATTCCTCCCAGGGATGCAAGAATGGTTCAATATTCGAAAATCTATAAATGTAATACACTATATCAATAGAGCGAAAACTAAAACCCACATGATCATCTCCATTGATGCAGAAAAGGCTTTTGACAAAGTCCAGCACTCATTCATGTTCAAAGTCCTACAGAAAATTGGAATAGA